ATATCATAGCACTGGTATAATGGTATCAGGAGTAAGATAATATCTTATATATATATTATCTTACTCCTGATGGTATAATAACAGTGGCATATGGTTAGTATCAAGGGGTTAATAATGACAATTGTCATTATTAACCCCTGTTTAGTGTATACACATCAGTGGCGTACGGTGCCTGCGCAGTGCAATTCGTTAATTAGTTAGATTAGGTTAAGTACGTAAGAGTTACGACACGTAGGAGCACGCATACATCAGCGTTGATACGTGGGTAAGCTGTAAGCATGATACCTGGAAGTCACAGCTGCCACAGAATCACGTAGCATTGCCAAACGTTGAATGGTTGGTGTGGCCCCGTAACACGTTAACGCACGCAGGAACACTGACGTACCGAGAAACGAACAGCGATAACCTGTCTTGCTATCTATAATGTAACCCACTATTACGCCTACTTGTCCGTAACGTGCCCCCTCGTCCATAACGTTCCCCTTGTCCGTAACGTGCCCCTTTTCCATTACGTGCCCCTTGTCCATAACGTGCCCCCTCGCCCATAACGTGCCCCTTGTCCGTAACGTGCCCCTTGTCCGTAACGTGCCCCTTGTGCCATAGAGCGTGCCGCCCTTGCGCCGATACACGTGGCCCGCTTGTCCGTGAAAACGTGCCGCCTTGTCCATAACTGGCGCCGCTTAGCTCTAGCATGTGCAATGCCATATCCTAACGGGCTACACAGGTGGGGGCAGGTTAGTGTAATGCTTTCTCTAATACGTGCAAGCTTATCTGTAAAGTTGTAGCCCGACGTGTTTTCTTGGCTTATAACTTGTCCATGTTGTGCATTACAGACAGAGGACATGGCTAATGTTACAGTTCATAGAGGGTAGACCGTTATATCGGCTCATGTATCTACGTGCCCCATTGCGCAATGCGGCCCTTTGTCTAATCAAGACATGCCCCGTTGTCGTGTGCCTCATCTAATATACGTGTCGCTTTTGTCTACGTGTCCTCTTAGTCTACAACGTGCCACGCAAATTCTATATAGATCATGCCGACAATGTAGCAGGTCACAAATGTAAATTCGAGCATAAAGAATTTTGCGGTACCATCGTACAGTGAGCTACGCGACAGGAGCGTACTTTCATATCAATGTAGGCCTCTCACAGGTAGGCTTGCTGCCACAAATACCACTGCACCTTCACTACTCACCTAACTGACAACTACAAGATGCTAAGGCTATTACCTGCTGGCATTCTGCCACAGAAGTCGTCACGTCTCTAAAGCATTCCGGAAACTAATAAACCGCAGGTGACGGCAAAAATGCAGCACGCGTCAGCTCAAGACAAAGCGACCGAAACCTATTGGGCGGCAGAGCTCCGCTAAGTTTTTAAGATTTTTACAATAAGGTTGTGAAGTAGAAATGAAAATCAGGACCTGGCATTGGTGGGGTTTCGGACGAGATGAACTGACTGAAGAATGTTTCGAGTCTTGCCCGTGGTTGGTCAGTCGATCTTGTAGTTTGCTTCCAGCCCACATCTAGCTCTAGATATATTATTGTAAGCCCAACAGAATTCGGATCAAAAGGACCCTAGACCCCTAGGCCTCGTCCTATTGCTGTTTGCTGACAGATTCAGTGAACGTACATAATGCCCAGCTCACTGCTGCTTAGCAAAGAATTACCAGAACATGTGAACTGTTTACATTAAAATGAGCGCTTGTTTGTTTTCGCAGCCACATCCCTGTCTGTGGAATTGATTTAGTAAAAGCTTTAACCAGCGACCACGCGATCAAGGTTTAAGCTTTAGATTAGAAGCATGTTTTCCTAAACTTGCACTTCAATAAATCTCAGAACTTCTTCCCTAACTGGGTAGTTTTAACACTTTGGCTTAACACTGAGTGCAGAATTGATATAATAATATCTATATACTACGAAATGTTGATTATTTATGCATCTATATTTCATACTGCCGTCCATGAATTGCACTAGGTTTACTCGGTATAAAACGGTATATAAACACAAAATCTATTTGCGCGTTCTAATGCTACAGTAGCAACCTACCACGCGAGAATTAACGCTAAGGTGTGTTGCGACATGCCAAAAAACCACTAGGCACGAATTCAATTGTCATCGACGCATATTTAGCAAAAACTGTCCGCTTGTGCCGCCAACGACGTTTCACCATCGAAATTCATCACGAAAAAATCGTCATCATAATCATCATCGCATCTCTGCAGAGTAATTGTTGAAATTATAGATCGCAATTAAGTATGGCGACGACGTGGCGGTGCTATCGCGTAAAGTTAGAAAAAATAATTAAACGGCCTGTTCCATCATTCTTCAATAACGGCCGACGTCGGCGTTTACGACAGACGAGGAGGCAACTCGCGGGCACCCCACCAACAAGGTAAAACGCGGCGAGCCCGACGGTCAAAGAAGAACCTTGTCGTAATCCACACAAAAAATGAATCGTCGACTTCGAAGCGCCGCGTGCTGACGCCAAAAAAATTCACCGTGCCAAGCGGCGATACACAGCGCGCCGCCCATCCGTAACATACCAGGGGTCGCCGTTCCAGCACGCGCGGCCCAGCCGGCCCTCACCTGCTGGTTGTTCATATCTCGCTTGCGTTGCCCCTCGCACGGGCGACCTCACCGCCTCTCTTGGTTCGCTACGTCGCATGCTCCTTGTCGTCATCGCCAAGTGTCGACGCGACGCCCGCACCTCCTGCTGGCCACTAGAGGGTGTCTGTTTTCTGCATCGAGCCCGTCGTCCAGCTGTTTACAAGCGTTCCGTTCAGCCCCTGCTCGGAAGATTCGCCCACGCCCCTTCTGCCTTATTCTCAACAACTCTGAAAGCACAGCGCGACGTAATGAGAACTAACTGGCTCTGAGCGCAGACGACAACACCTTTCCGATCGTATATTGACATATGTTGCGATCGTACAGATCTGGCTGAGCACCGACTTAAATTTAGACGCCTCGCGCAGGCGAACAGTCAAAGCGGCACTTCTCTACATGACCGCTCCGTATTGGAGCAGGTTACGAAAAATATCGTTAACAATTATGCGCCTCTAAAACCTAAGAACAAACAACAGACACAAGCATAATTATACACATTAGCATAAGTATTTCTCATCGAAGTTTTTTTTCACACCCCCTAGTATCGCCAAGTATATACGCATATTTTTTCCTTTAATTATAACAAATTGTTACTGTCGCATCCAAGAAGATTTCAAAGGCATGTACCCCACGCCCACCCTAGACGCCCCCTGCCCGAACAGTCGTTACCCATGCGCAAGCGGCGCCCCCTATCAGTCGACGGGCCGCGGGCATGCAGACGACTAACACGCTAAACCCCTCGCCCACACGCTCTTAGCCTGTTGCGTGCAGCGGCGCCCCCCTATCAGTCGACGGCCGCAGGCATGCACAGACTAAACACCTAAGCGCGCCCCCCACGCTCTCACCTTGGTGCGCGCAGCGGGCGCCCGCCTATCAGTCGACGGGCGCGCCAAGGCATGCAGCGAGACTAACACCTAACGCCCGACCCGCTCTTACCTGTGTGTGGGCGGCGCCGCCCCCTATCAGTCGACGGGCCGCGGTGCATGGCAACAGACTAACACCTACACGCCCCATGCTCGTACCTTGCGTGCAGGCGGCGCCCCCTGATGCAGTCGACGGCCGCAGGCATGCACAGACTAACACACGTCAGCATCGCCGCCCCCACGCTCCTTAGCCTGTGGGCGTGCAGCGGGCGGCACCCCTATCAGTCGACGGGCCGCAGGCATGCACAAACTAACACCTAACACCCCACGCTCTTACCTGTGCGTGCAGCGGCGCCCCCTATCAGTCGACGGGCCGCGGGCCGTGGATGGGCATCGTGTGCAGCACCTCATCCAGTAGCTGCAGCGCGCGGTGCAGGTGTATCTCGACCCAACATGGCGTCTGCTTGATGCTCTGCCGCGGGTAGTCGGGGCCCCAGCCCTTCACGAAGCTCAGCCGCAGGATGCACAGACGCCGCAGGTCGTCGACGCCGATCCCTGCCGCCGCCGACAGACCTGAAATGACGCGAGTGAGTGTCGCCCCCTAACGGCGACGGCGCGGAGAGCGACGCCGCCTCCCGGCGGGCTAACGCGGCAGCACGAAGAATGGCGCGCCCTCGCAGCGGGCTAACCCGGACCGCTCATTAACATGGCGGCGCGGTAAGCAGCTCCCAGTAAGGAACGCGGCGGCGCCAATTACGGGCCTTACACGATGCGGTGAGTGGCTCCCCCTGGACGGTCAACACGCCGAAACGTCGAGAACAAATTATTAGTTTTTTTGCGGCATTCTGTACGTTTGGAACGTGGACGACGAACGATGGATTGCGACGTTAGCGATTCGATCGAGCCGCGTTCTCCGTGGCTCCACCTATCATTTATCGATGAGAACAGCATTCACGCTCGCTGCGCACGGAAAAATAGCCCGAGCACTCGCGTATTCACATGCCACCTAGTGATGCAATGCATTAATCATTTAAATGGAGCCATAACATCTGAACTTCTGAAGTCGATGATCGAAAGTGACATCAGTTACTGCAGAATCGCGTAACAGCCTTTGTTCACAAATCTGTCAATACCGCAGACACCCGCTTCAAACCGCAATGTGTGAGCATGCTACTCTATACCTGTTAATGTGGAAAGAGCGACATCACACACGGAAAATAGTTATTAGGATAGCCACACACCAATGCACATACACGACTGTGAACAACAAACGCAGTGAAACAAAAACAACTGTCACGTTTGCGTATGCAAAAACGATGTGTTAAAACCATCAACCGACCACGCGAATTGCGGTTCTTACATGCAGTGTGATTTGTGGACACAAGCATAGTGCGGGGTTAGTAGCTCGAATGTAAAACCTCGTTGCTACAGTTACCTAGAACATCAGTGATTGTTATTAATTCACAGCCCAACACAGTTTCCTTGCGTTTAACAAACATGAAATCCGTTGATTTCCTCCTTGGTTCGACACACGAAATGAGATCCTTTGTAACGTTCTGTCCCCGCCACCACCTACAAATAAAACACGAAGACGCACAACCTCCCCCGCGGCGAATCGACCTGCGTCCCCGGCGCCCCCTACGAAGAGACATCACTCTCCCGGGGGGGGGGGGAGGCGATGCCACCCGTTGTTAGTATGCAGAGACTCACACAGGTGCAGAGAGGTGCGAGCACATCTACCGGGTATTCCTTAGATGTCGACTCACCCTTACCGATTGCTGGAGCGATCCCGCCAACACTAGATGGGCCAGGAACGTTGCCAGAAACCGCCGCCGCCTGCGCTGCCGCCGCCGCCTGCGCGGTCGCCGCCTGCTGCTGCATCTGTCGGTGACACTGACGAAGGTCGAACACCTGCGAACGGGGGGAAGCTGAGCGTTAGCACTGCCACCTAATCGGGAAAGGTCGCGACCTCACGTCACCGTCGTTGCTCGACTGTTTTTTTCGGTCAGGCGTTTCGCGTTTTGACGATTGCAGTTTTGTGTTTAGCAGTTGCTGTTTGGCATTGCTAGACAAGACAGGTCTCGTTCATTTTCGCATTTATTCCGCATTCAAAAATCAGTTAGTGCAAACAAGTGCAAGATAGACATTTTGGCACGGGCGCACGCGGAAAACGCATACAAACCAGTCTAGCTTGAGCAATAATATTTGATCGGAGCATATCTCGGTCGGCCAGACCGGTCGCACGAACAGTACCTTGATGAAAGCGTTCGGGTAGATCTTGTGCACGGCGTCTCCCGGCGCGCGGCCAGCCTCTCTGTCCAGGTAGTAGCTCTGCACGAACACGCTGTGGTCGCTCAGGCACCGCACCCACACGTCTCCCTCGCCTCTACACTCCAGCTGAACGCCCTTCCCTATGTGAAGTCTGAAACCAGAGAGAGATGGTGTAACAGCAGCCACGTTGTATTCCCCCGGGGCAGCCTGAAATGAGCGGAAGAGGAAAAGCTTGAAAGCGTGGCGTGACATCACTGCATCCATACGGTTCCCTTGCCACAGTATTCCAGATGCTACGCTTTTCCCAACGCCTACCACCAGACAAGTGCCGCATAGCGACAGCGCTCATCTAACGTCTACTGCGGTGACTCTGTGGTGGAGTGG